TGGAAGAATGGTCAAAAATTCCTATAAACACACTCCTCAACCTTGTGGACAGCCTTCCCAGAAGAGTTGAAGCTGTAATAGCTGCAAAAGGTGGACCGACATCATATTGAACCCTATGGGTTAGGAATGGGATGGCACTTAAGTTCATATGTGAGTCAAGGCAGGTGACCGAATACTTTTGGTAATATAGTGTAGCTCTCCCCAATTTTATCTGGGCTTGGGACCGGCACTGAGAGCGCACTGTTGCACGCAACCCCAGTGGCTGGCCAGGAACTGAACCGGGGCCACAGCAGTGAGAGCACTGTGGCCTAACCACTAGTCCAGAGACCCACAACAACTCAGATGTAAGAAGTGATAATACATTTAATGCATTATATTTATTACTCTGTAAGAGAAATGAGAAAACAACCCACCACTCCCTCTGGGCAATGCTACTCCAGATAGTGCTTCCAACACAGATCTTTTTCCAGAACTCTGATCTCCAATTACAGCTATAGCTAGAAAAGCCAAATTTTCTTAAATACCAATCAGCCTCAAAGAGTCAATCAGATCAATATAAGGCCGAACTCTCTCCTCTAAATGGCACTGAAAAACCCCTTCCATTGGCTTACTGTGAATAAGTAAAAGCCACTGGTCACCACCATACAAGTCCCTGTATAAGTTGTTACTACAGAAATTATAACATAGACGAGTGCATTAATATTCTCCCAGAGCTGCTGTTATAGAAAATTAAACACCTTCTGACCAATCAGAATCAAGAATTCAGTGGCACTTTGGTAGAATAATTAAGAATTAAAATAAATAGTAGCAAAGAAACTCCCACAAAATATTACAAAGTTTCTTTAAATCACACTCATAATTACAAAATCATTATTTCTGATTCATTTAATCAATCAAATCACAATTATTCATCAAATTGCTGACATTGAAGGAGCTTGATCCTGCTGTACATTAACCCCGGTCCCATTAAAGACAATTAATCTCCTTCTTAATTTTCTTAGCTGATTAAAGTTGACAGAAATAGAGAGGTATGGAATGTTGCTGCTACTGCCAAACAGTTTGTTTTTTAGAATTCCCATTCAATTGAGATGAGATTTGCTTGAGCTATGAGCTTACTACAGAGAGCCAATATGTATTCTTCTGGCATTGCATTTCCGCTGTCACTTGTTTCTGTTCATGTGGTTTGACACTTTAGAGCAGGGTTCATCAACTGGCAGATATGTTTCAGTGGATTAAACTGAGCACTCAAAATAGCATAACGTATGAAAAGAAAAAAACTTTTGTAGTTGTGCCTCTAGTTTTTTTTTTTTACTCATGAACCATCATATCTTCAGTAGCAGATCCTCTTTTACAATTTGTTGTGAATCCAACTAGCTATCTCATGTGTATGTAAGTGTGTAAATGAAAATTATATCAAATGAGGGATATGCTTTTGACAAATTCTATAAAGGGGGCCCAGATTTAATATATCTATCTAGGGAGCTATTCCTATTATACCTCACCTGCTCTAGTGGAATCATGTAGAGTAGTTCCCTAACCCACTGTTTAAACAAAGGAGGTTTCACTGACTTCCACTGCAGAAGAATTAGCCTCCGGTCCTGGATTACAAATGCCTGGGGAACAGTTCGTTGTTCTTCTGATGGAGACACCCCAAAGACAGCGATTATGGGGCTAGGATCTATTGCCCTACCACAAATGTAGGAGACTGCTTCGAAAATCATCACCCAGAAGTTACCTAGTGAATTGCATGACCTAATGTAACTGGACTGTGACAACATCTCGGACACTCAGGGCTGGTGCCAGGGTATATTTTGACTAATTCCTCATTTGAGTAGTGCAATCGATGTATGGCTTTGAATTGGATGAGGCCATGCAGAAAGAGGTGGTATGTATATATTCTAAGCTATGTTGTCACATTTCATCAGTGTCACTATGGGATGTAGGGAACATATGGATGTCCACTAACAGGAGAAAAGTGTTTACCTGGTTGAAGCAAAAATGTTCCCTGAATTGAAACCATATTTTAAGGGAGTTTTTAACAACCGGTCTCAGCCTTTGGAAACTTAAACTGATAGGTAAAGATCAGCTCAGGATAGAAATAATTGAAGGTAATGAACTGGACATAAGTTCCATAGAGACCGATGTTGGTCCACATTTGTTTCTGAACAGTAAAATCCAGTAATTCAATTTAGAGATGTTAGTTGCCCAGTAGTAAAATAAGAAATTTGGCAAGCCCAGCCCCCTGTGCATTTGGGCATCTCTAAACAGGCTCTTTTGATTCGCGCTGTGCAATGACCCCAAGTTGAAGGTGATGATATGGCTATTCAATTGTTTAAACCAGGATCTGGTTAGTAAAATGGGGATCATTTGGAATAAATATTATTGACATTATTATCCTATTATTATCAGAAATAGTGTCAAGATAAGAAATATGTCACTACAAGGTGCAGGAAAAACTAGTTTATGCTCTTGTTACCTATAGGTTGGACTTTTGTAATGCCTTGCTGTCTGGATGTGCCAGTAGTTGCATAAAGTTAGTCAAGAATGCAGCAGCCACAGTCCTTATTAGAACCAGACAATCTGACCACATCAACCCATAGCTTATCTACACTACATTGGCTCCCAGTAAAATTTCTCATTGATTATAAAATACTACTAATGACCTATAAAGCACTGAATGGGCTTGCACCACAATACCTGAGCAAACTTTTGGTCTTTTATGATCCACCATGCCTGCATTGATCATGTTGGTACCTAGAATAGTGACGACTACAGCAGGGACCAGAGCTTTTTCTTACAAAGCACCACAGTTATAGAACAGCCTTCCAATTAATTATCAGGACTCAGACACAGTCTCTGTCTTTAGATCTAAGCTAAAAACCCATTTGTTAATAGTTTTTATAACAGGTAAAGGTGCAGATCTGGAAGGTTCATGGGCTACCACACTCCTGCTGCCTAGTGAGATGCCTGCCACACACACACCCTGCCTGGCCCATCCTGATATTCTACTTTTGCTTGGAGCCTCCTCCACCCGAGAATCACATGCTGCTGCTGAGGACAGTAACACATGGATACCCTAAAGATGATCGTGGATGTTCTTACTTGGACAGCCTAATGACTGACCTTGCTAAAAACTATGCTTAAGACTCATTCATTATACAATGGATAAATTCACCTGGGTATTATAGACTTAAAGCTAAAACTCTACTGAAATCAACAATGACCCTGATGCTTATACTGAAGATCTTTCCAACGCCCTTAGCACTGCTTGGCACTATTGTATACAATTGTAGAAGAGTAATGATTTATATTCTCACTATCCAGTGTCACCCAGAAGAGGATGGGTTCCCTTTTGAAACCTGGTTTCTAAAGGTTTCTGCCTCATGTCATTTCGGGGAGTTTTTTCTTGCCGCCTCACTTTTTTTTTTTTTAATTAGGATAAATCTAAATCTATATCTACATTCATGGGGAAAAGAAAGTATACCCTCCTTCAATTCTACGTTTTATTTATCAGGGCCTAAATAACAATGTGATCCTCTTCTTAACATCCATAAACAAACAAATAACCTTAGGTGGCACAGCAGATTCCAATATGTAGTATTGTATTCCTATATATAGTCATTTTTCCCTAAAAGTAAACCAACATTCAGAAACCAGATGGGAAAAAATAAGTATACCCTTCCTAATAGTCCACAGTCATTAAGAGAGTAATTAGCAGCCAGATATTACTAATTCAATTCAATTCAATTCAGTTTATTTGTATAGCGCTTTTTACAATGTCATTGTCTCAAAGCAGCTTTACACAAACAAAAAAGTAAGATGAAGTGTGAGAGTGTGTCTGATGAGCAAGCCGAGGCGACGGTGGCAAGGAAAAACTCCCTGAGATGGAGATAGGAAGAAACCTTGAGAGGAACCAGACTCAACAGAG